GCAAAAAAACCAAAGTTGCTCAACAAAAGTTATCAAACAAGAGGTGAAATTATTATTTGTGGTGCTGGGGATTGAATCCAGAGTCTTGTGCATGTGCAGCAAGCACTCTACTGAAATTATTTTTAAGTGTCAGAGGAAGATGCTTATCATTAGCTCAGAACTGTTTCCTCAACACTATTTTACTGATATGAATCTGAAAAGTTTTTTCTGAAGTTATAAAAATGTGCACAAATATACACATTGACTTAAACCAATGACACCATGGATAACCTGGGTTTCAAGACTGCAAACTGAAGACATTAACTTTCAAATTAAAAATGTAACTCTGCATGTGTGGTAGTGGGATTCAAACTCAGGGACTCTTGTGTGCGAGGCAACCACTTACCACTGAGCTAAACTCCCAGCCCAAGATATAACATTTTATTTTAAATTTCCGCTATTATGTTTTTGTATTTGTAGATGATTCAGCTTGTTTTTAAAATAACATTTTATTAATGTTATGTTAATTCATGTTTAACATTTACTTTTGAAAAATATAATTAATGCTTAGCAATTTTATTTTTATGTTACCATTATATAATGCTTCATAAAGTTTAGAATTAGAAATATATCAAGTGTATGTAGTTTTCACTGAATTTTCTTTCTTCTTCTATCTCTTCTCCTTCCCACACTTCTTTTTTTTTTTTTTTTCCTGGAATATCCAAGATTGAAATCAGGGCCTGTTGCACCCTAGACAAGTGCTTTATACTCAGTTACATCCCCAGCCCTTTTCATTTTGAGATAGGAGCTAACAAGCTAACAAGGTTACCCAAACTGACCTGAAACTCGCCATCCTCCTTCCTCAGCCTCCCAAGTAACTGAGATTGCAGGTATGCACTAACACACCAGACTCAATTTTTCTTATTGAATTGCTTTGATGATAGGACACCATCAAATAAATTCAGTAATATAACAGAGAGGGTAATTATGAATATGTTAAAGTCCTCATAGGCAAGAGCCTCAATCCTAGTAATAAATCAGGAGGCTGAACTGAATGAAGCAGGACTGCAACTTAATAAAAATGGGGGAAATCTTAAAAGAACCTGTAAAAGGTGTTCTCATGATTAAAAGATAATTTTTAAAAATTTCAAGTAACAATACAGTAAAAATATGAAAATGAGAACCTATACTGGGTCAGGCAAGAGGATTTTTGCAGGCTTATCAACAGTGATCTGGCAACTGCAACCAGAATACTTCTCCTTTAGACTTTCAGAATATTCAGCAAATTATAAATTACCTTTATTAAATCTACCTGATCTTCCCCAACATAAAGGACTTATGCTTCGTATATATGTACTCTACCTATGGAAGGAATAAAGGTGGGGGAACCTAAGTAGGTCACTAGAAACATAAACTGCATAAAAGAAAGGATCCAAGAGATACTTTTGAGATCCAAGAGTACTTTATTCCCATGGTTTGTAAATTGGAGTTTATTCATGACTTAAGTTCAGAGTAAATTCCTCCAATTTATTTTAACCTGCTTATTAAACAAAAACATATCCACAGAGAAAGCCCAATTTAGAAGTTCAGTCTCCTCACTTTAAAGCACCCTGTAAGATGCAATTACATGTTGACAATTCATCTTCCACTTCAATGCATGAATCTACTAAGGGATTTTTTTTCCCTTCATTTTTAGAAGTCCACTCACAGCTCCATAAAAAAGGTTAAATTTAAACATTTTTGTCCCTTTAAAAGACATACTATGTGTAGATGCAAAGCCAGCTGAAACTCGATATTCAGCAATGCTGAACCCTTGTTTATGTGGCTATTAAACTGTATTTTGATCATTTTTTACCTCCGTTAGGTACACCAAAAAAGCAAATGATAGTTATATTGCATAGTTTAGAAAATATGTGAAAGCAAAAATTGTCAACATACTGTAGCACTGTAAATAAAAAGCTGAGCATCAACTATTTTTGACATCAAAAAATTAAGTGAAAATATATTAAAAACAAGGCAATTATATTTGCTATAAGAATTAAAAATAAATTCCTAACTCCAAAGGACCAAGAATACATGAAAATATTAGAAGGAAAAAATAACATTATATTGGGCCTTTCCTTTCCCTCCCCACCCCTAGTTTTAAAGACAAAGATCCTTCTGACCACTCAAATATGGTCACTAGACATGTTTCTGCCACTGTGGCCTCTATTTACATAGCTGCATTTTTCCCAGCTTCCTAAAAAGGGTTATTAATAGCTATAACTACTATTAATATCTACCACTAGTCTTCTTAAAAATCATGACTCAAACTTCAACAAAATGCCTAAAAGTTACTCATTCATAAATCTCACTCTCACAGTTACTTAACCCAAAATAGTTGTTATTCTAAAATAAACTTCTGATATTGAGTTAAATGACAATGGGCTAAATGATGAACACTAAGAATAAAGTTCATTATTCAGTTCAACTTCAGAAGTAGATGTGAGGAGCACATCAGCTGAGCCAGAGAGTGACAGGCATAGCTGTCTGAATGGCAGCCCCACTCCTGACCCATGGCTAAGCAGGGAGGGTAGGCAAAAGAAGAGGACAGAGAAGCCCACTCCTCACTTCCCCTGCACCAGTAGAGACCCTGACTTCTCATGATGGTAAATGATGCACACTTCTTTTATACCTCTGACTTGATTTACACTGCACATTTCTGTCATCATGGTATGTTTATTACTCTTGAGTTCAAATGCTTCTAATCTTTTCTTATGCTTTTTTTTTTAACTTTACAAAAATCCCAGAATTAAGAACAATATAACCAGCTAAAGCTAAAACTTTTAAACCCAACACCAATCTATGAATGGATATGATCTCATTTCAGGCAACAGGTGATTAATACCTGGTTTTTCTTAATTTCAACTAGCAGATCCTTCAGCAAATGAGAGAAAGAGACTAGACAGATACAATTAAAAATATTTTCTGTTGAGTTCACTTCATAGTTTTTCCATAGAAGGAAACTGATAGATAGATAACTGATAGAAACTTGAAATGTAATTACTTTAATTCACTCACAGAAAATTACTCAATAAACACCAACAGGCAAGGCCTTATGGGAGAGCAAAGATAAGATATAACCATGGCTGTCCAGACACTAAAAAGCTAACAGAGGCAGATGAAACATGTACACAAATTATGGGAACCCAAGGTAGCAGGATGTAACTGTAAAGATAGAAACAGAAACAAAAGGCTAAAGCACCCCATAAAGGGAAAAAGGAAAGCCAGGCATCAGGATCAAAGACCTGTATCGGCCCAATATCCAACCAACCATTAAAATCCATTAATAAATAAATAGATTAAAAGAGCTCTGGTTTGATACAATGAACACTTAGGACACCTGGTAAGACTCTGAAACCTGAATTTTAATTCTAGTTCTACTGAGAATGAACTTCTTAGCTCTGAGACATTAAACATCACTCTTTCCAAATCTAGTTTTCCCCATCCATGAACAGGAAATGGCACCTGCTCTACCTGCTGAACAGCAGTTTTGAAGATGAAATCAGCTCCCAGAATCTAAAGTTCCCTGTAACTTTAAATCTCTTCAGAGGTGGCTAGTTATTCAACTCCTTCCTGAGTACTTCCAGTGAAGAGAATTTCATTATTTCTCAAAATTGACTACTACAGTTTGGACAGCTCTAATTCTTAGAAAGTTCTTGATGTGTTGAAACCAAAATCGGCCTCTGTGAAATTTCTATCCTCAGGTAAAACAACAAAAAACTGGAAAAGCCAAACAAGGTAACATCCAATGATGTGAATAAATGAAATTTTAGAGAAGGCGACAGAGTAGGTATCTGCAGGTTCTTGAAGGTGGGAAAGGTCTGACCCACAGGCTTCATACTTTAGTCTTTTAGAGAGGTCTTTTGTTTGGGAGAGACCAGAAAAGATCACCTGGCTTGTCTGAAAGTATCACTGAAACATTTTTTTTTTTTTTAATAGTACACCATATGCGCAAGGGAGTGGTTGCGCAAAAGCGTGGTGGTTAGCTGGAGCCAGAACATTTAGAAACCTGAATATCCATTCCACAAACAAGGCTGCACTGAAATTACTATACAGGGGCAATTCACTGAAGATTGCTGATATGATGGTAGAATTCAATGTTTAGAAAAAGTAGGTGCAGATGGGCTGAATGGAGGCTAGGGGAGATAAAATGGAGGCTAGGGATGGGCAGCTGGACCCCAAACTAGCCCTACTAGGGGAGATAAAAGGTCCAGAACTTGAGAGCTGAACAGGAAATGGAGAGCGCGCCCAAGACTGAGGAAAATTCTTAATTGTTGCCAAGTGAATGAGAAAGGAGTGATTCTCTTAAAGCCGATTTAAAAGTTAGTTTACATCTATTTAGGTAAGGACAAACAAAACATAGATTCTGGTTTACTAATAAATTTAGTTTTGACATCCCACACTGCTCTACCAATCTATACTATCCCAAAGTGATTATTCCTCCGCGTTCCAGAGGGCCACTCCCGGCAAACCATGCCACGTTGTTAAAAAGTGAGAGTCGGGGTACATAATCCACACACACTGAATTTGGCAAAACCCACAGGCCTGATAAGCATTTTGAATATGCTGTTTCAATAACGAAATGGCCGATATGATCATCCTTAGGGAATTAAAAAATTCTCCCAGCTGCCAAAAACTTTCTACTTGGGATCCGCATTTCCAGTATTTCCAGTATAACACATCTGATCGAGACGCGGATTCCCAGCAGCTAGGTCCGCGGAACTGAAGGTACACTCGGCAGGCTCTCCGCTGGCTCTCCCTATCCCTTCCCCCATAAGGAGCTGGGCGAGGCCTGGCCTCACCCGGGGAAGGACGCAGAGGATCGCCTTCCTCCTGGCGAGCCGGGGCGGGCTCCCCTCCCCCAGCCGGCGCCGGGGCGGAGGGCGGCGCTCTCGCGGGCCTCGAGCCTGGTACCCAGAGCAGCCGGCTCCGCAGCCGCGTGCGCCCCATCCCCCTCCTGCCCAGCACGGCCCGCTCACCTCGGCCCGGGCCGGCTCGGGCCCCTGAACGCCAGCGGGCTGCGGCTGCAGCTGCTGGGCAGCGGCCGGCGGTTCCTTGTTCCGGTGGCTAAGGTCTTCCTCCGGCCCGGCCCGGACCCCGACCGCGGACCCCAGCAAAACAACCAGCAGGAGCAGAAGCAGCCGGGGCGCCGATGCGCGGCCGTTACCCCGGGCCGCCATCCCGCCCGCCCAGCCGCCCGCGCACGGGCGCCGCAGGAGGAAGTGCCGGTGACGGCAAGCTGCGACCCGGTGCCGTCTGGGCGGCGCGTCCGTCACGCCCCGCCGCCGCTCAGTGAGCAGCCCGAACCATGCGGGTGGTGGGAGAAGACCGGGAGAGGTCAGAGGCAGGCCGCGTCCACAGCTGCACTACGGGCAGCCACCCTCACCCGCGGAGGCCACACGACTCCTCTAACTGCCTCCGTGCAGCCCTGCCCCAACTCCGGGGCCCGCCCCCTATCCCTGACGGGCTCCCATTGGCCCGGCGTCCGCCTCGGCGTCGTGACGTCCTCGGGCAGGTTGAGGTGCGGCTCACACGCCCCTCCCATTGGACGCGGCACTCAGGCAGGTACCCAGGGCGGGTTGACAGTTCCCTCTGGGCATCTTTCCCGCATCCATCTGGAACCTGGCTCCCCGCTCTGTGCCTCACTGTCCCAGGACTGTTCAGCTATTACTTATGCTTCCTTTCGCGACTTCGGCCTTAATATCCAGACCCGCCTTTGCCTACTCTCGACCTTTCTTAGATGTTAAATTAGTTCCAGCGCCGCTACTTACGTGGCACTTTCCTGCAGGAACTGTCACACCTCTCCGGGTTGGGCGTGTCAACCTACTGCACAGAACGTTCTTAAGGATTCAGAATGCTGTTTTTTTGAACTTTGTAATAGGATTCAGAAATAGATGAAAAAAATTTCAAGCCTTGTTTTAAGATGTTATTGCCCATTAATAGCCCCAAACCCAAACCGTCTGACTGGTCCTGGAATACCTTTCCGTTTTGGAGGCTCAGGTTTTGTGCTGCACCTTGGACTGGCCCCTTAAAACGTCTGGCTTTTGAAATTGAATCTTGAGCACTTTTGCACGATGGCGGTTGAAGTGAGCAAAGCTAAAAGACATGAAAGAATAATTGGTAGGCTCGAGAACTTATTTATATCTTATGATAAGAGAAGTTCAGCTACTTAGTTACCAAAAGTTCAAGAGATCCAGCCCCTGGTTTTAAAAACGAACAAATAGTTTTAACCATGTACCAGGCACTATTATAAGTACTTTACATATATTTTCATATGTTAAATCTGTACAGGGTAAAGAGGTAAGGAAGTTTATGACTAATGGAACAAGAAATTAATCCTCCAAAAAAGTCTGTGGCAAAGGGTGCAAATTTGCTTTGAATTAATTGATGATAATATTTTGTCATGTGTGTTGGTAAAGCTGTTGTTCATCTTGTTCTTCCTGTTTGTAATTCCCTTCTTCCATTATTTCCTGGTAAAGTCCTACTGCTATTGTCAAAACTTGTTTAAAAAGACTCTACTTCTTCCCCAACAGCTCCCCTTTCAGAATTCATTCTTAATTTATGCTTCTGGTATTGTGTAAGTAACAGGATGTCTCCTACACCATTTGGAGTGCAACTCTTGTTTCATCCCTGGAGTGCAAATATTTGAGCCCTCACAATGCAGAACTAATAAAAATGTTGAAAGTCTATATTCCTTCAACCACCTCCCCTTAATGCATGCAAGGTTTGCCTTGCTTAAGAGGGACATGAACCAGTCATGATGACGCACACTTATAATCCCAGCTATTGAGGAAGCTGAGGCAGGAGGATCACAAGTTCAATATCAGCCTCTGTGATTTAGAGAGACCCTGTTGGGAATGTGAACTGGTTGTGTCACTGATTGCTGGAAAGTGCTTGATTTATTTTCTGGGATTAGTTGCCATGGCTCCTGGCCAAATTCCAGTCACTTTAGCAGACAGTGAGAACTCATGGGGTACAGAGCAGGATGCTTAGACACAGGCTTCTGAGCACGAAGTAGCTCAGAGGAAAAGCTGCAAAGGTGTTTAGCAGGAGATGGAGGTAAAGCAGTAATAGAGATAAAGAATTGTCCCAAAGGGGTGGCTCTCAGCAACATCATGGTAGAAAAAGTGTGGATTAGCAAAGCCCCTCACCTCATGGCTGGAAAGGGAAAATAAGAAAAAAGAAGAGGCTGAGGTTCCACTGTCTCCTTTGGGGACCACCCCCAATGACTGGAAGACCTCCAACTAAGCCCGACTCTTAGTTTCTAGCACCTTCCAATAGCTCAACAGCACTAAACTGGGGAACAAGTCTTTAATACATAGACTTCTGGGGAACACTTAAGATTTGAACTCTGGCATACTTCCATAGTGGGTCTTAAGCCTTCTAGATGGTAAATTTATACCTTTTATCTTTATTGTCCCAGCATATTATCCAACATGGTAATGATAATTAGTATAATTAGAGTAGTAAACTTTTATCAAGTGCTTATTCTGACCCAGGCAGAGCAGTATGTTGCATGAGTTATTTCATAAGGTTGGTACTATTGCCGTTATTTTTACAAATGAGAAATGCAAGATTTGGTGTAGGGTGCCAGTCTGAATGATTTCGCATTCTCCTTCCCTGAGCAGAGAGGTTCTGATCGTCACTACATCTCCTAGTAACCTGGACATTGCCCTGGTCCTGGAGGTTGAGGATGCATCTTCAGATGCAGGCGTGTTGCCCCATGGATTGAGCTACGCTCACCTGTTCCTTTGTAATATTACCCCTTTGCCCTGTTTGGGATAGAATGTTCCATAGAAACACTCTGTTCCCTTCTCTTGCTCTGGCTTTGGGTATGGCCTTCCTAGATGTCAGTCAACCTGCTGACAGCAGACATCATGAAGCTGGACTCAACCCCCTGAAACCTGACCCCTTGCCTCATTTGAATGGCTTTTCCTCAATAAAAGGGTTCAGCACATGCTCGATCTCTTTCTGTGGACCCTTAAGGTCAGAGGAGGTGTCACAGGACCCCAAAGAAAAAGGTATCTCTGTCTCTTGTGTGGTTATTTCGTGTAGCCCAGTTCCCCTGGAGTGACCCTGAGTGTTTTTGTCAAGAGGAACATGACAATTTGGGTCAAGGAATTTTTCCCAATTTATCTAACTAGAAAGTTGCAGAATCATGCGTGATTTCTGCTTTTTGAATTTAATGGTGCCCAACGAACTGAAAATCCAATTTATGAAAATTCAAACATACAGAACAAACCAATTAATTCATGGTAAACACTTCCATCACCTGTTGGAGAATGTCCTTTCTCCATTCCAAGTTTCTAGAAGAACTATTTCCTGGCCTCTCTCAATTCCTTACCATTCCACCTCTGATGACCGAGAGTAATTTGGACAAGATAACTGGGCATATTGGACTTACCTCTGTGCATTATTGTTCTTGGAAGATGCAGTTCACAGGGAAAAGCATCTATTCTCTCTATAGTGACTTCCCCAAACTCAAACTCTTTGCAGCAGAGTGGAACAACTTCTGAATCTGAAAGTCAGTATGAGACCAGCTCACCTGGCTATCAGACCTTCCAACCACTCCTTCCAACCTGGCCTCCTGTCTTTTTTGCTCTTTGATTTTATCCCCAACTTTTCAGAAATAACAAAGAAGTGACTCATTTCCTAAACTCTGAAAAATCACTCTCAGCACCCCAGAATCATCAAAGGATGAATTAAAGGGTCCCCCCTTTTAATAGTTCATGAAGTAAAAGCTTGTTAGAGAAGATACCAGGCAGGGAGAAATAAAAAGGGAGAAGAGGAAATGTAAAAACCAGACACTTCACACTGAGTCAGCTGAAGATCATTCAAAATTGAAGCAAAGGCACTTGACCAACTGAAATGTAAATTAATGAGAAATAGCAATTTGCAACTTGACCTTCTTGATTTTTTTAAAAGCACACCTAATACATGAAATAGAGCATAACAATACCCATAGGCATGATAAGCCCCTTGAAGTGATGAGGACCTGGACCCTTCTTGGGAAGCTCAGCTGGCCCAGGGCAAGTCCCAAACAACATCGAACATAAACTAAAAATGTTTCCTTCGTTAAAGGCAGTCCAGAACGAATTCATGGAATTTCAGAGGTTCCTAACTAGAAAACCAGATGACAAATTACAAAATGAATGTGAAGTAATGCTCCATTTTCATTTATCCAAATATTTTCTTGTCATCTCTATATGGATGTTTCACAGGCATTTCAAACAAAGCATGGGCAAAATAGGTCTCTTGATTTCCCTTCAAAAACCTGTTTTTCCTTGAGGTTCCTCATCTCAGTAAATGCAACCCTCATCTGTCCTATTGGATTCCTATCATCTCCTCAAACATCACATTCAATCTACTGTCAAGTTTTGTTGTTTTTACCACTAAATTTCAATCCTGAATCTGTTCATTCTGTCTCTACTATTGCCACATTTTCCAAATCAGGAGTCATTTCTCACCTGGACTTTTAAATAGCCTTCTAATTGGTCTCCTTCTGTTCTTGCCAATTTATAATCTAACCAGCATCCAAAAAGAGGTTTCAAAATAAAAAAAGGAATTTCATTTACCTACTTAAAATTCTCTTATGATTTCTAAATGAGTTCTAAGCCCCTATCTCTGAATGAAAAAAGTTCTACCTACCCCTGCCTCTCTGTGTGACTTAATCTCTTGGCTTTCTCCAAGAGATGGCTTTTCTCTTGGTCACCATGTCCAGTCAAGCTTGTTTCCACCTCAGGACATTTGTTCTTGCTTTTTTTTTTTTTTAAGGTAAAGCTCTCCATCTCTGAGATAAGCATCCTTTATCCTTTGCTGGTTAATTGTTATAATGGAGGACATGACTCCAAATTTGTCAGATATTCCAAATTTTCAAGATAGAAACCAGAGTGCTGAGTTTTTATGCAAAATCTCCTAATTTTTAAAATTTGGCATGTGTATCAAACTAGGATTCACTAAATATAAATATAAATATAAAATCCCAAATCAAATTAGCATCAATTAGAAATGTTTCCTTCATTAATTGTGGTTCAGAATTAACCCAGCAGCCCCACAGAGATCAGGGATCTAAGTTCCTGCTATTTTGTGCTCTGTCTACTCTTCAGGTGTGGTGCTTATCTTTATGACCCAGTGTGACTGCAAGAGCCCTACCATCTATGTTCCAGACAGCAGGATGGAAAATTGGCAGGAAAAAAAGGGGACGGGACACAAGGTACCCATTAGGCATGATTTAAGGGAGCTGCCACAGAACCACAGTACTTACATCTTCTTGGCTAAATCTTAGCCACAAGGCCACAGCTAGCCCCAGGTGAAGTTGGGAAATGTAGTTTTTATGTTAGCGATTTTCCTATAGAGAATAAGGGGAGAAAAGCTACTGGGATCAGCAATTAATAGTCTATGTCATTCAGAATCCTCCAGAGAAACAGA